AAGCAAGCAGATATTCCTTAAATTGAAAGAAAAAGAAGAAAAAAAATATACACACGTTAAACTAAAACTACACACACAGACTGTTCCATAGTACCTGAGAAGTCAATTACTTGTCCATGTCGTGATGCATACAGTTAATATTGAGTGTGTGCACAAACCTTTAATGCCAGACTTCACAGATCTTGCTGCAGTCAGGAACACAGCCAAAGCCATAAATGTAACACCCGATTTTCAAAGGAGATGGGAATGTGAAAGAGTTTGGGAAATTCTCCTATGAGGATGCCTTTGAGTTGCTCCAGATAGTCAGAGAATATTTTCTGTAGCCCCCAGCCATTAAGATGTGGCACAAGGGCATTCCTTCATCTCCAGGTCAACCAAGTGAGACCAAGGCTGCTAAGCCCACCCCTTTCCTTCAGACATACATAGGAGGAAACTCCCCCTTCTGCCACTGGACTATACAAGAGAGGGGAGGGAAAGTGAAGAAAAAAAATCCTACCGTCTTCTGTCCACCATTTTAGAGAGAAAAGGGATTCCTCAGCTGCTTTTCCTATCTGACAACTAAATGGGAATGGCAAGAGATCAGGCTGTTTCCTCACTGCATTAGATGGGAGAGAAAGCAGAATAGAAGGAGGGCAGGGAGCAGCCAACAAAAGGTAAGAGATACTAAAATTCCCCACGTACTAATGCTTTTGCATTTGAATCCAAATTCTTAGAAATCCACAAGCCAGCTGTGGAGAAAGGACTTTGGGAAAGCTGGGAGGGGATGGAAGGATGTCTCGCTTTCTCAGCATAAGTACTCGGCATAAGTGTTTTGCTTTGTTTTGTATTTTCATGCTTCATCCAAAGTGTTACACAACATGAAGCTTTATATAGCTACATGACAACACACAATCCCCACACATCCAGGGAAAAACCTCAACCACACTAAAATTTGTTCAAATGAACACCCAAGTCTAGCAGGACACTAATGTTGACTAGGTACCACAACAAAATTATGCATTAGAAAATATTCCTCGCCTAGTTGTGAGAGTACAGCTTTCCCATGGCAATTCTGGTGCCCTAAATTCACTAACATTTGCCAGATAGCAGCAGCTGCTCCAGGATTCCTTTGGCAAACGCCGTATCTCACTTTTTTGTTCTCGGTATGCTGCAATTTCCTGTGGAATGAAGAAATCATCTATACTACAAAGAGGTGCAGTACTAACACTTTTAGAAGTAAATTATTTTACAGCACGTGTATTATGGAGAGAAATATAATACTTGAGATGAGAAATTCCCAACCAGAGAGAGATTAGAAAAACAATCTGATAAACAAACACCATCAAAACTTGTATTTTTTTTTATTCAGAGCAAAAGATATTGGGTAACTGTTGCTGTTTGCTGTTCCTAGAAAGAAGGGAATTCTGTTGCAAACAGCTGTAGTTTTTCATAGGAATTATAAGACTATATTGAAGATTTATGTTCCTGACAAAGGCATGAAGTTATCCAAACTAGGGCAGAAAAATCAGAAGTCTTTCCCCAATGAAACAGACACGCATTACTTTTGTTAACTGTTACTATGGCAGAAGTTTTGATCTTCAAAACCAGAAACTCATTCTGTGGTCGATGTTTATAATGATTAAGTTTGTGTGGCAATGCCAATCTGCACAGGGTGAACTGGCTTATCACAGGTTGTTATACAAACCAGAAAGATACTCTATCACCTTTAAATCAATTGAAGTCATAAACACTTACCTCCAAAAGCACGACTTTAAACTTTCCTCTTGAAATTTTGGGGTTTTACAATTATGCTTTCCCTAACTTATGAAAAGGTTTCCTCAAAGCTGTGGCCATCTGACAGTTCCATAGGAGAGAGGAGAAAGGAAAAATGCTGTCCTTGCATGAAGTAAACAAGCAAGGGGAAGAAATCCTGTGTATGCTGCAGTTACACAGATGCAACTGGCCCTACCTGCCTGCACACTACCCTCCTGATTCTCATGGAAAAACTATTCCTCATGCTCTGCAGAATTAAGGTCTTCTGTGGTCAATGGAAGTACATCAGATAACAGTATAAAGAACTATTATTTTTAAGTCAACTGACATTCAGCAATAAAACTCAGGATAACAGAGGTTTTAAAGCTCATTTATTTGCAAGCAGCTGAACAGCATAGTCTGGGCTGAATCCTGGGCCAATTTACAGTTCCACTCTATGCTGTTTCATGAACATTACACCGAGTTACACAACTTAGGAATCAATAAATCCATTGCCTTGAAAGAATTTGCTTAAAGACTCACAATGAGTCAATGGCAGAGTCTTGTCTAGATCTCAGACTTTGGCTTCCATTTTACAGTTGCTTGGTCCACCAGATCGTATTTATACAACACCAACAAAAATATTTTTATTTCTGACTTTCTGAAATTGCTGTTTGTTTGATTTGTTGGTTTGGCCTTGTTTTTTACTAGGAAAAGAAAATAAACTAGAAGTTTCTACATAATTACAGTTTTGAGGTTTTTTTAACCAACTATACTTCTCAGCTGAACGAAGGATAGAAAGCCTGATCTCTTTGAACAAAATGCAAAATAATTCAAAGGCCTACACAAAAAAAAAAAAATCACAGTGTACATGCCAGTTTTCAGGTTCAGATAGACATAATTTAATAGTCTATTTAATTACTGACTTTAAAAATCCTACATGTAATCACTGAGAAGCAAAAGACTAAAACAAAACTTTCCATCAAGGATCAATTTTCTACCACTCCTTACTCCTGCAAAAGGGTCTGTAAAAACTAAGGATAGTTTTTTTTTTCCTTAACAGAATTTTAATTGAGCATAAGCAAGTGAACAGAAAGCACTCCATTTCCATGGCATTTATGATCCAAAGTAAAAAAAAAAAAAAAATTAAAAATCTGGGGACATAAAACCAACTTCCATTTTAAAAGACTTAGGATCTAAAAGAAGGATAGTGTCTATGTGGCAAGCTTTTTTCATCACAAATGGCTTCCTTAAAACAAATTACCACTGACAAATAATCAGTTATAAGCATAGTTTCCAATAGGGCATAAGTTATCTAGCATAGCACTAGAGAACACACTTAATTTTAAATATGCTTATAGTTTTTTTAGAGCCAATGGCTCTTTCCATGCTTAAGGCTAAGTGCATGTTCATGTACTCCACCAAGACAAAAAGCTTCCAATGTTGTTAGAATGCAAAGTGAATCTTTTTATCCCAAACCACATTTTCTTGCATGTAATCAGCTCTGATGCTGCCACCATAGTTTCCAATTCATTCCAGGGCGCACTCAGCATTTATGAGGGCACAGATGGCGCTCTTTCTTTGGTTTCTAAAGAACATGCCTAAATATTAAAACAAACTTGGCTTTCCGCCTCCTATCCTGTTCTTACTCTCTGTATTGCCACCATAAAAATAACGGTAACCTTTGATCTAACCTGGAAGCCTTCTCTAATTTACACACAAAATTTGGCAATAGGACTATCAAGTACAGTCAGCCCACTTGAAACCAGAGAACCCGATACGCAGAAATCCAGCACATTAATCACAAGCCGTCAAGAGCAGGAACAAGCAGTCCACAAAACAATCAAAAGGACAAAAATTGGTAACAATTTTTTCAGTAACAAACTATATGATCCTGACTGTATTTAATGGCTGTGTGTGTCTGGAACTATAAGGTTATTCACCAGCTTAAGCAGCAATTATCAAACAAAGAGGCTGATTTGTAAGGCTAATAAAGAGCACTAGCACGACAGTATTTAAGTGAACAAGGCCTTTTCCAACACACTAAATGCCATGGTTTGCATTATGCTGAGAACTTGTAGGCAGCATAGGACACTTATTCCCAAATTTTGAAAATTGTTTACTCATTTCCAAGCACACACACAGCAATGTACACAGAGACCAACAGAAAGACCAGCTGTCACAATATTCCATTAAAAATGTCCTAAGGTAAGGGAATCTCAGATTTGTCCAGCAGATCTTGATAAAATGTTCTTGAACATGCAGTTAACTGAGATGCAGGTGCACATGATGGTCAACAGGTCTTAGCCACCCTTCTTCACAGGCTTTCAGTCTCACGCAAAGCACACTGACACTGGAAAAATCACATGTCATGTGCATCAAAATATGTATGACCAAACTCAAATGGGGGTACAGCAGGAGGAAAGGGCTTGGAAAAAGATTAATCAGACTGCTTGGATAAGATGTTCCCAAGTGAGGACTATTTCACTACCTCACTGGCAACATGAGGTTAGCAGACAGTGCACACTGCCAGAATCTGGGAAAAGAAATGTGCATTTAAAGCTGTTCACTTGAATTCAGAACAGCTCAGCAACCGTATGCATAGACTGGTAAAGAAACATCTGAACAAACATCAAGTCTAGAAAACTAGTTTTAGAAGTACATTTAAATGCCAAAAAGCCAGAGATTATACTAAAGAATCAGTTAGCTCCTACATTTGTTTTAAAAATAAGCAACGGCTAGTAATTTTGCAAGTAAGGATCCTAGATATGTGCACTCCACTAAATACAATAAACTAAATAAATCTAAATTAGCATACAGTACTAAATCAAAATTACATTAAAATCATAATAAAAGTCAACAAGTAAAAACACTGTAAATTTAAATGTTTCAAGAACAAACCACTGTAAAACATACATAAATGAAACAATATTAGATATGGATGGCAAAGACACTGTTCTGCAGCTAGTCTAAATTACTTTTTATAGTCCATTCCCTTTGAGGCAATGGGTCCTCCTACATCCCCGCCTCTCCCAAGGTAGCCCCTCCTGCTGTCTCCTTGTCTCCTGAAACTCAGCCCTGCTCTTGTCCCAAACTTTGCAGTATTTCCTGCGGTTTGACTGGCTTCCAGGAAATTCAGGCTGTTCCCTCTTCTTGGTATCATGAGTTTACACGACGCATAACTTGAAATTACTGGTACATTCAATACTTTCAAAATTATGGCTTGAGAAAAAGCTTCAAAATAGCAGCAACAGCAACCCTGGCCTTACCTGAAGGATCTTGTATTGTCATTTCCTTCCGCTTCAGCATCAGCTTGTCCTTAACCCACGGGAACTCCTGTAAGGAATCCAAGAATGCATCAAAAGCTTTGGGTCCTCTAGTAGGGAGAATATCAAGGAGCATCATGGTCTTCCTCTGGCTAGTGGTTTGGGCTTTTATTTCTTGAACATGACTGTCCGTGAGAATCCCCTCTTGGTAGAGATACTGAATAACAAGTCCATCCACCAGCACTTCTGTGCAGAGCTCCAGGCGCAGGGAGCGTAAAAGCTGCTTGTCTCTGGCATCCATCTGGCAACCTAGAGTGTGAGAAAAGGAGTAAGGAAATGTGTGAAGATTAAAATACTTCAACCTTTAACATTCAGAAGTGATATCTGAACATCCCAAAGTGATGTCTGACACCTGACAACCTTTAGAGAAAACTCTAAGCTCAGAAATCACCAACCTGGCAAAACTACTAATGATCCCCATCATCTTCTTTCCACTCGGATTTCACTGTCTCATGAGGTAAAATGATGCAATTTCTGGGAAATACTAGACAGGAATAGAACATTTGGCATTGCAAAGACCAGTCCTTTGCTGGAATGAAACCCATGCCAAATAATCCTGCTATTAACTGGTTAAGGTCCATACTAAAGGCAGTTAGAGCACTTGCCAGACCTTACGAGACACTAACTAACCCCCCAAAATTAAACAGATGTCACACCTGACCACCGATACAATTACAAAAGCAGCAGCAAGACTGGTAGATGCATCTCAGCCAAGCAGAAGCAGCAGGGACAGAATCAGCAGGTAGCTTTGGCCTACATGATGCATTTCAAATTTAGGAGGGGTAGAAACGTACCTTATGTACCAGGTCTTTCTCAACCTTGACTCATCTTGGAAGACTGCTCAACTGTTCAACAGTTGATGAGAAGAAACTTTCTTTGAATTTCCATCTCAAACTTATCCCCTTCTATTTATAGGCATTTGTTCTGCCAGAACTGTTGCTTAGCTTAAGTAGCTCTTCTCCCTCTCTTCTAATGTGTTCACAGGAAGTGATCAGATGCCATCTGCCAGCTTCTGTCTCACTTGGCTAACACTGACTAGACAAAAGGTGAAAAAGATGCATTTATTGCCACTACAAAAGAATAATCAGGGTCCAGAGACACCAAGCAGCTCATCCAAGACCAAGTCAGAAGTTCAAGCCAGAACCTTTGAACCAAATCAAAGTTCTTAACGACAAACATATCCCTGGGCCCATTACTAGCACTTGAAAAGGAAAATGACAAGACAACATAATTAAATACTTTCTCATTAGTAAAATGAAGTAAAAAAATGGCAGCAGGTGTTGAGTGTGATTACCAAGAGGGTTTCTCATAATTAAACTAGACACTGCTGTTTGAACCACTAGACCTTGCAGAAATTCCACTTCATTCAGCTTGAGGATACAAGGACAGAATCTTTAAAGCTTTTCCATGAAACCTGATGAAGCCTTCTTACCAACAGAGGTGCCTACTCACTCCCAGGGCCCCATCAAAGACAGTGTGGTTGGCCTGGTTGTTGAACTCCAGGAGGGTGACCAACAGAATATATTCGCATGTAAATGGCACCTTGGACAGAATGCAAGAACTCAGTGCCATGGGAGAGACTGGAAAAACCTGTCTGTGACATTCTCTGACACAGCTACTTTCCAAAAATGCTTCCATCAAGTGCCAAAAGCACTGCTGGAAAGCATCTTCCTGGAAGACTACCATCTTTCCCAGGTTACCCAGCGCATTTCTCATCTACTGAAGTGAATTTCAAAGTGCTTATCTTCTGTCTAGGGATCATGTGGGAATCAAATACTGCTATGCCAGCCCATGTCCCTATGAAATCCTAGTTTGCCAAGCAGAGTTCAAACATCAAACTCCATCATGGACTGAGACAGTAGTGCAAGCAAGGAGATAAAAAAGAGCAGGCAAGAAAGAGAACTGGATTTTCCCACTTGATGTCAGGATGCTAATTTTGGACAGGTGAAGCTGAAGATTCTGGTCATTGTACCTGTACACTACAGGAAGCAATATCTGGACTACAGCAAAATTCAGGCAGTAAATCCTACCACTTCTTCCTTCTAGGAGAACATCCCTGAGCTCATGAAGCACTTGCAGGGTTCAAGAAAGGCACCCAGAAGCATCTCTGAGGGTGTGACCTCAACTCAGGTAGAAAACTGTTACATATACTACAAAAGTTTTGTCTCACATTCTGAATGGGCGCTGAGAGTCCCCGTCCAGGATCATCCTCACGTGCTGGATGAGGACTGTACAGAACTTGATGAGCTCCTCTTCTTCATGACCAAAGCAACCAACACTTTTCAAAAATAAAGCTCTTACAAACCAAAGGTTTTCACCTTTGAACACTGAGAAACGCCAGGAATCTGAAGGGGGAATTTCTGCTGAAAAAGGCCTTTGCCTTCAGATTGCAGAGTGCACACAACTGAGGGTCTAAAGTCCTGGCACTGGCCTGGTAAACTTCCAGGATGGGGCATGCTGATTTCTAAGGCCTTTTTAAATATAAAGTGTTTCTTTGTGTGTGCTTACTGTGAGAAGCAAATGTCTAAGTTAGGAACTAAGCATCTAGATATGGAAATATATCAGGATTTTGATGTGTAACAGTGCTGGGACAGAGTTTAGTGCAACGCAGAATTAACAAATTCATTTTAGCCACAGCCTGTATCTAGGGATTCAAAGTAAGCTCTGAATTAAATTTAGTCTAGTAATTTTACAGAAAGTAAAAATATGAAATGTCCATTTACCCAAAAGATTACATGGTTCAAACATCCCCAGATACTTCTGAAAATGGATCTTTTCCATTCTAAAGCCAAATTCTAAGAAATATAGCCCATGACCTGCTGAATGAGCACAGTCCTTGATTCAGCAACACAAGCAGGTTTGCATTTTTCTGGATCTGACAGAGTAACTGTACATGACTGGGGATAAAACTTTTGATAAGGACCCCTTCTGACACTAAAAAGGCTCATTCACTTAGATTTTTTTTGCTAGAAACATTTCACCGTTTTCTAGAACTCCAACTGCACTCACCTGCCTAACCCATGAGTGATTCTGGCTACTAACAGCATGCCTACGGGTTAAAAATCTTACCCACACCCCCCCCAGAAAAACCAAAAACCCCAAGTTCTGCTTTAACGTCTTCCCTGCCGAGGTCTGGCAGCTGCTGCTCCTGTAACAGCCAGGGACCAGCTGCCCGCACCCCGGCCCGAGCCCCCGGCCGGCAGCATCGCCCCACGGCCTTCCTCCCCTCCCGGCCTCCCTCCGGGCAGGGCTGCGGCAGTGGAGGCGGCCCCGCCGCCCCGGCCCGGCCCTCCCGGGAAGCCCGGCCCCCGCCCCGGCCCCGCAGCGCCGGGGACGCCGCCGAACGGCTCCGCTCTCCCGCTTCCCCTTGGCGGCGCCCGGGACGGGACGGGACGAGCGGAACGGAGCCGCCGGCAGCGCCCGGCGAGCGAGCGGCGTGCGAGGAGCGCCCGCCCCGTACTTACGCGAGGGGAGCGGGAAGCTACGCGGGGCGCGCCGGCGCCCGCGGGCCCTGCGCGGGGAGCACCATCTTTGTTGAAGGCAAGAGGGCTCTGCCGGAAGCCGCCGCCGCCGCCGCCCTGCTGCGGGCGGCCGAGGAGGGGCGGCCGCTCCGGGCCGCCAGCGCGGGAGGGGCCCGCGGCCGCCATGTCAGCTGCGGGCAGCGGCCGCGGCCCGCCCGGGAAGGGGCCCCGCCGCTGCTCCTGCCGCTGCCGGGGCGGGGACGGGAGGTGTCTCCGCCAAGGAGGCGCCTTTCCAGGAGTTCTGAGGACCTCCTGCGCTCTCAGGAGTCAGAGTGGTGGGGGTGTTTAGTGAGAGGAGGGGTTGTATCTGAAATCAAAATAGAAATCACGAAACTGCAGTTTTGATGACATTAGAAACAGCTGATCTCATTACTCTCTAGGCATACTGGTTACTATTTGTGAGTATGCGCTAAAATGAACTTCATCCTGGTGCTGGTATCGTCATATCAAACACGGAGCATATTACAGCGAGTATTGTACACATTTAGCTTCGTTACTTCTATGTGAACAGCCTAAAAATGAAAAAACTTTAATTGACGAAAACCATTTAGTAAAGTAATAGCTGGCCTGTGTCTACCACAGTGCCGTGCACATTCTTGTTGTTTTATTCTTCTGTTAATGAATACTGTATTATTCACTTGGTTTTATACAGATACCTGGAACCGAAATACGGTAGAAAAGAGAAGACTGTGATTCACAGAGCTGTAAAAACGACCCGGTGTCACTTTCGCTCACACATCATGGAATAACTTTTTCCCCCTGTTGCATAGGTGTCAGGTGTCACACGGGATTGAGTGGTGTCAGCCCTTTTTCTTTCATGTCGGGACCGCAATAGCGATGAAAGAGGAAAAAAAAAAAAAATCTTCCAGTGCTGGAACGTACTACCTTTGAAGCTGCAGGCAGCCACAGCAAGCTGGCTGTGGTCTGCACAGCGTGCTAATACCTACCCTCTGGAAAAGATGGAAAAGTGGTTGCTGCAGCTGCTGCTAGAAACGTCGTCACCTTGTGAATCCCATTTGTACACTCTGTTTAGACTAATCGTACAGATTTAAGGGTATTTGAAATATTTAAGGGTATTTGGAAGCTAGTTGTGGAAACCTTTACGTGTCTTTCCTAGATACTGTACCCTGGAATTACTTGCCATGGAAAAACGTTAGCAAAAGTATTGGTGGAGTTCACATACTGCCTATGCTTAGCATGTTATCTGTCTACAAGATTTTGCATAAAGATAGGCAGTCACACTCAGGAATCTTAAATCCTTTCCCTTTGCTTTTTCCTGTGGCTGACATTTGAGAATTTATGTGGACACAGAATATAAATCAGCCTCGAAGGCAAAGTTTGTATGCTGGTTTTAAGAAATGTTTTAAAAAAATAGATGCATTTGTCATGCAGCCAGTTTCTGCAAAGATGCTACTTATTTGGCAGTTTTATACCAGTGTTTTTGGTTTTGGTTTGATGACATAACACTTTTATCTATAATTATTTCCAGGTAATAAGTTTGATACAGCGGGTTAAATTGCTTGTGAATAATTGATAAATAGTATCTTATTGTAATATATCTGATAAACCAAGGTAAATATTTTTTTTGTCTCAGGGACATGTTAGTCTTCTAGGAACACAGACATAAAAAAAAAAATCTAAATGCTCCTCTATGTTGTTTCAGAGCAATCTATTAACAGACAACAGCCAAGTAAGTCATCATTGGTAACTCCAAGACAAAAAGTATGCTGCTGTTGGTGCCAAAGTACAACTGAGGTGGTTTTAAATTTTCTTGCCACAACGTTTGTAATATTAGTTGTGAGAAGATACATTTGTAAACAGCACAGAGCAGCACCAGGGAGCAGAGACAAGCACAAACTGTCTGTACGATCTTTTCTCAGCGCAGCGCTACACAGCTACTGAAAGTTTCCTTTCCCAGCTTCTTGTACTTCTGATGGTCAGTGCTGGTTGTTGGTTTTTATTTTGTTTTTTCAGTCGTGATCTAAGGACCTGTATTATATCTGGAACAGAAGTGACCAAACGTGGACACTTCAGAGAATCTCATCATTGCAATCCTGACAGCTGCTTTTAATTGCAGATAATGTGGCTGCATTTTAAAATAGAAAATTAGGACAAGCAGTTACATCACTTGCATTTACTATATCTTTTTGCCAGATGAGGCAGATAGGTTTTTTTAATTTTATGCTATCCAAGAATGTCTTAGAAAGTTATAGATAAAAAACATATGGATATGCATAGAGCAGCTCCAAATTCCACCCAAGGAAATTATAGCAGTTATACAGTCAGCATTTAGTCACGTATTTGCTTGCAGTCTGAAGAGAGATAGAAAGAAGAAAAGCAGTGAAAGGAAACAGATAAGCCTAGGAAGGAAGAGGACAGCGCCAGAGGTCCAAAGCTCATTAAGGGAAAATCTGGTGTTTCCTTTTCCTAATATTAATAACTAGTGCTGCAAATTGATTTAGTGGAAACTGTAAATGTGCTACTAGTGTTTTGGGTTCATCTTTAG